ATGGTGCAGGGGTGTACCTGCACAGAGGAGGAGGCGGCAGAGAAGGCAGGCCAACACCGACAGCCCCCTCTCCTGGACACTAAGGGCCTGGCCCGTAACAACCCTCTTTTGTGTTTTGAGCATTCTTCTGCAGATTTATGCTCAAACAACTAATCTTCAAACCTTCTCTTGCGTACTGAATCTTCTACAATGTGGGGAAGAGCTCGGCAAGAGAAATATAATGAAAATACATTCCTAAACATTCCCCCAGGAGAGTCAGTGCATGCTTCCTCTAATTTGATTTAAAGAGTGATTTGCGATAAGAAAAAAAAGTGTGTGAGTACAAGTTGAAATACTGAAAATATAAGGAAATACAACCATTTTGGCTCAACAATGTATTATATCTGTATGGGTTTACTATTCGTCTGGCATGTATAGATAGATAAAGAGCCATTTTTATGTTATGAGCTTTAAGATATTGCTTCATCTTCAATAAAATGTGACATAATTATCATTTTATCATCATAATTTGAAAATCAATATATCATGTAGTCAAGGCACTATAACCCAGAGATCCACCTTTACATTTCAAAAGTGCTCTTGCTATTGTGTTTTTATGAAAAGAGAGTATAGTTATAGTTGCAGCGGTGATAATTCATACTTACAAGTTTGTGTTGTCGTCCGCTGCTTTTCCTTTATGAGTCTTTGTCTTCCCCTCTTCCTCCTCCTTCCCTTTGCTCCACCTCTCCATCACGAAACACTGTTTTTTCTCTCTTTATAACAGATTTCTAACAGCTCTTTTTATTTTAATTTATTAGATTTTTCTAAACAAATGAACAGAAGAGCAGATCTATTCCCAAATACAATTGCTGCTTGGAGCACACATACACAATATGATTGTGGAAGTAATGCACGTTATAAGTGTACTTTCCATCCATCCATCTATTTTCTACCCCTTGATCCATTTCTGGGTCGGGGGTGGCAGTCAGAGCTGCACCCAGTAAACTTAATACCAACCCCTCACTGATCCTCTTGCAGGTGGAGAGTCCACAGGAGCCTTGATCTTTCAGCAGGGGCTTCAGGCAAAGCTTACTTTCTCAACAGAAAAACATAAAATAAATAATTTTACATTCGAAGCTTACTCAGAGCTTATCAGATAAAACAGCAACTACATAATTATTGGTGTCCTTTTGTATATTTGCAAAATATACATAAACATTTTTAATATAATAATAATATACTTAAACATTTTTTATTTTGAATTTGCATTTATTTATTTATGGCCATAACAATTACAGGTCCTGGTTGGTGCTTCGAGTGGTTCACTCTAGGCTATATCCACACGAAGACAAAACGCTTATAATTTCAGAAACTTTTTCTGTAAACACGGAGTTAGCTCAGTAAATGTGTGCGTCCATATGAATGTAGTCAATACGCCTGAAAACGCTGTGAAACTATGCCAGACCTGTTGGTGGCGCTGTGACGCAATGACGGGATCAAGCCCAAACTTCCGTGACGGGAACTGGGCATGCGCAGAATTTTGTAAACAGACAACATGGCGAGTGGGCGAGCTGGTACTACATTAGTATGGACGGACGATGAGGTTGAACTGTTGCTTCGGGTCACACTGGATTACAAAACCAACAAGCTACATTGTTGTTGTCATTATTTTCTGAGTGCGGCGCATGCGTGCTTTAACAAGAGGCGGGGCGATGACGCAAGCGTCTCAGATACATTGCGGAGAGGCAGTAACCACGGAGCGGCATATACGGAGTTTTGAAATCTTTCCACTCTGGGACCTACTTTCAAAAATGTTCGTTTACACCCCCCCAAAACGCCGGCCTCGTTAAGGCCCTGTCCACACGAAGTCAAGCTCAGGCCTAAATGCAAAAATACTTTATCAATCCAGTGTATCGTCCATACGAGGCCGGCGTTTTGGGGGGGTGTAAACGAACATTTTTGAAAGTAGGTCCCAGAGTGGAAAGATTTCAAAACTCCGTATATGCCGCTCCGTGGTTACTGCCTCTCCGCAATGTATCTGAGACGCTTGCGTCATCGCCCCGCCTCTTGTTAAAGCACGCATGCGCCGCACTCAGAAAATAATGACAACAACAATGTAGCTTGTTGGTTTTGTAATCCAGTGCGACCCGAAGCAACAGTTCAACCTCATCGTCCGTCCATACTAATGTAGTACCAGCTCGCCCACTCGCCATGTTGTCTGTTTACACAATTCTGCGCATGCCCAGTTCCCGTCACGGAAGTTTGGGCTTGATCCCGTCATTGCGTCACAGCGCCACCAACAGGTCTGGCATAGTTTCACAGCGTTTTCAGGCGTATTGACTACATTCATATGGACGCACACATTTACTGAGCTAACTCCGTGTTTACAGCAAAAGTTTCTGAAATTATAAGCGTTTTGTCTTCGTGTGGATATACAGTAGCCTAAGCACAATGAGCAGCCAAGAACACGGTCACAATGGTGGTCAGACACTCCCTGGACTTAACACCTCCTGAAGATGGCCCGACACACGGACCTCAGGACAGTGCCTAGTGTACGCTTCTTAGGGATCCTCTCTAGTTGTTTGGGGATGCCCGCTGTGATGACGTGTGGGTCGGAAAAGGCTATCAAACGCAGTGCCTTTTTGGGATAAATTTGGCGCAGGTCTTTGTAAATTTGATTTGCCACGTCCTCAATGTTGTGTTCATCAGGTTTCATACGAACATTGCACCTATCCTTAAATGTCTGCACATGTCCAAAGAGCAACATGGAACACTCTGCCAGTTTATGTGGGTTTCTGGTGCCAAACACCAGAGCAGACAACTCAAACACCAGGTTGGACCAGTCAGAATTACTCCACATGAAGTCTTCATGGTCCTGTGTGGCAGCCCTTTGCTCAGCTGGTATGTATTCTTCTGGTGAGGGGGCTTTCTTTCTCGCTTTATAGTCCAACCACGCCCCGTACACCATGTCTGGTGTCTTGTGTGCTGTCTCTGATTTTAGAGATGTGTTGGTCTCATCGAAAGACTCCAATGAGGCTCTTTCCTGGATAAAGCCTATTTGTTGTGGCATGCTTACCCTTTTCAGGATGCAGTCTGTGATGGTGGCGGCGCTGAACTCAGGTTCCACCATGATTGTGAATAGCATCCACTCCCCAAGGTTTGCAATCACAGCTTGGTGTATCGCATTAGCTGCTTCTCTGATGTGATGCAGATCAGGTTTGACCCGAACAATACATTCAGATTTGTGTTGCTCCACATACTTCAAGAGAAGCTGGAAGAGTTGCTCTATATTATTTTCCTCTGAGGTAGCCAACACCCGAAAGCACACTTCTTGCAGCAGGTAAGACCAATGCTGGTCGTTCCATTGGATTTCCACCTGTGAAGCGGCTTCCTGGTCCTTACATAGTGGTCTCAGCAGCTCCTTAGACTTGCTCTCCTGGCCCTTGAGCAACATTTCCGTAGCAGCCTCTTCAGCGATGTATTGAATTTGTATTATGGTGTTTTTGGACGCCATTGGTGGAGTCACTTTCCTGGTGTCAGAGCTGACTTTCATCTCTGTAGATCTGGTTTCATTCTCAGAATCCGAGCATTCACTTTCCTCCGACACTTGAGGACCACGTGTGCTAAAGTCTGTGCTGTGATGGCGCACAGCATTGGTCTGCTGTGCGACATCAGGCAGAGGCTCCGAGTAATGTTTCCGACATTCCTGATCTCTGGCGAAACGTAAAAGGGGTTTGATCAAGTGCATCATTTTGACCAGATGTTCTTTGGGGGGCACGTATGAGGTTTTGGGCTGTATTTCACTGTGGCTCTGCCCAGCGTTGACACTGCTACACACTACTGCGCTCAAGGCCTTGAAGAGCGGAGCACACGCGTCGTGTGAGGTGCTCAATAGGAAATCAAAGATATCCGTCAGACAGGGCTCCAGAGCTCTGCTGATGTCTTCCTGTGACACCAGGGGGCACTCTGGTTGACTCAAGAGGTCCAAAATATTATTAGACAGAGTGTCAATTATTTCCAATAACATCTCTGCCAGGACTTTCTTGGGCTTTGTCATCTGCAGGGCCTGTTTCCAGTACCTCAGTGCAACAGACTTTAGTTGCTCTGTGGAGATCTGAGAAACAATGTCATTTGAGACGCAATCCCCATCAAAATCCCGCATACTGCTTTTCTTAAAATGAGAAATACAACTCAACTAAATAAACTTTATCTTAATAATAAGCCGACTTATGTTGCTTCCGCTTCCCTCTCTCCCCCCTCTCTGTCTGCCTCTGTCTGTCTCTGTCTGCCTCTGTCTGCCTCTGTCTGTCTCTGTCTGCCTCTGTCTGTCTCTGTCTGCCTCTGTCTGCCTCTGTCTGCCTCTGTCTGTCTCTGTCTGCCTCTGTCTGTCTCTGTCTGCCTGTCTCTGTCTGTCTCTGTTTGCCTCAAAGGCCTGCCTTCTAAATGACATAATCCTTTATGATGTCACTAAAGCGGAGGTTTCCATGGCAACGTCTCCATGGCAACGTTTAAAGAGCATAATCTATCCACCTATTCATTGATTGAATGAGTGAGCATACATTTTAGAACTTAGTATTTTCTAACGCTTGCCATAGGAAAAACGTAATACTGAAGTTTAGCTTTACAGATTGTATAAATACTGTTACGTTTTTGCACTGTAAGGCCAACAGAAATCATCAAAATGTGTGAACAAACAGCGTTAGCATTGAATTTGCAATGAAAGTAATACTTTTCATATACAGAAGAGGGCGCAAGGCCCACATAATTAAATAAGTCATTCAGCGTCACAGTACTAGAGTAAGCACGGTATTAATTAGTTCAAATTGTTTCGACAAAGAATACATTGTCAGAAGTAAATTGTATCATAAATTATTTGACCAACCCATGCAGAGCTCTCAAACCTGACATGACATTTCGTCCACCACGGCTCCTATCATTCATGACTGCTCCTTTCGATTGCAAACGTAGTGCAAGGCCAGGCCACAGACACACGCTCCTCTCATCGCGCTCCAGCGACTGTATGTTGTACACAGGAAACTTGATCCCTCCAAAACCAGCTTGTTCTTGGCCCATAGAAATATTGCCACACATAGTTTTGGAGTCAGGGATACACCAAACTCCCTCTGGCTCTCACCTCAGAGTGGGCCTGGGCAGAGAGAGGGCAAGCACGATTTGCGACTCACGGCAACTTCCGGTGACTCGCGTGACTCAGGAGCTCTGAGTCGCGGCTCAGGAGCTGTGAGTCGCGACTCACGCTCAGCAGTCAGGGGTCGTGGCTCACGGTTATCAAATTAGCTTTTTAGGGGTATCTGTGGATTATTGATGACACATTGTGGATCTGGAGGCATATATTTACAAGTAACACTAACCAGTATGTTACACACTCTTCATCATCTGGTATGTGTTTATATAGCTCTCCATGTTCGTTTACCACTGACTCAGGAGCTGTGAGTCGCGACTCAGCAGTCAGAAGTCGCGGCTCACAGTTAAAAATACCACAAATCTTTGCTTTTTAGGGGTTTCTGGGAATTTCTATTGAGACAATATAGATCTGGAGTTATAGTTTACATGTAATCAGTATGTTACACACTCTTCATCAGCTGGTATTTGTTTGTATAGATCTCTATGTACTATTCACCACTGACTCACAGCTCCTGAGTCACGGCTCAGGAGCTGTGAGTCGGCCCAGGAGCTTTGAGTCGCGGCCCAGGAGCTGTGAGTCGCGGCTCAGGAGCTTTGAGTCGCGGCTCAGGAGCTGTGAGTTGCGGCTGAGCCGCGGCCCAGGAGCTTTGAGTCGCGGCTCAGGAGCTGTGAGTCGCGGCTCAGGAGCTGTGAGCCGCGGCCCAGGAGCTTTGAGTCGCGGCTCAGGAGCTGTGAGTCGCGGCTCAGGAGCTGTGAGTCGCGGCCCAGGAGCTTTGAGTCGCGGCTCAGGAGCTTTGAGTCGCGGCTCAGGAGCTGTGAGTCGCGGCTCAGGAGCTGTGAGTCGCGGCTCAGGAGCTGTGAGCTGCGGCTCAGGAGCTGTGAGTCGCGGCTCAGGAGCTGTGAGTCGCGGCTCAGGAGTCAGAAGTCATGGCTCACGGTTAAAAAATACCACAAATCTGTGCTTTTTAGGGGTATCTGGGAATTATTAGGGGCAACAGTGACTCAATTGGCAGAGCTTTGGTCTTTGGACCTAATGATTGTGGGGTTGTGTCCCCCACAACCACCTGCTCCCACTGAAGCAAGACGCCCCATCGTGGTATCTTCTATACAGTCATGGGACCTCATGAATGAGTTTGAGTACAAGTATGTGGTAACGGCAGAATACTAATATTGGTATTGGTGCATCCTTAGTAAAATAAACAGACTATAAAAGAAATGTCAGTATTAGCAGTGCAGGTTTACAGTCATAGTGCAAGTGGTTGATTAAGTGATACAGGCCTAAATACAGATTATTACATGTATTTGCAGGGCTTATTGCATATTCTAATGAAAAAAATACTTTTTAGGGGTATTTATGAATTATTAATGTATCTGTATCATTTTCCATGTCCTCAGTGCCTCATACATACTTTACTGTGTTTGTATTACTCTATTGTTAACAAGTGACTTACGAGACATAAGTCAGGACTCGTCTGCTGACACCAGGGGGCGCTGTCTAATCTCATGTTGAATCCTGCACGACGTTGACATCTCGCTTGCAATTTAAATTTCACCAAAATATTGAGGTAAGTTATTTTGTTTCGTTTTTTGGAGTCTGTCTTTTAATCATTTTAACATTTTAAAGGGCATGACATTTAAAAAGGAAAAAACAGAGCAGAGTATATGTATGCTCCATAGGACAAGAGATGAGGCAAGGTATAACACAGGTTTGGTCACATTAGAAATAAATAACTAAAAACCACTGAGACATTATTATTTGTTATTTATTAATAATGCTAAAGGCATTTGAAAAAATACATACAATACACAAACAAACACAATTATAAAAGCCACTTGTACCAATTTGTCCTTATAGTAATATAATGTGGAGGACAAAGTGAGCCAAGAACGTAGAGATTTATTTGTCTTTGAACAAACACAAACATCTTTGCATTTCATTTCAGGGCATTTTCATTCTAAAAAATGATTATTGTGAACTTTGGAGGATAGTGTGCTGAGGTGGACTTACTATTGTAAATAGAGAATTAAAGAGAAAGACCCTAATGACATAATTTTATATGACCATGTTATATAAAGATTTGGTTTAAGTTTGATACATTTCAGTTTTGCACTTGGCTGTAGCTAATACATTTGCACACATTGCACTATAACATGAACATTTGTTTCCCCACAACCACATGAGCTGTTACTTTGTCTCCCAATACAGGAACATATATATACAGCTCAATCATGAATAGCAGCAGAGTGGTGCCGCACATCACTGGAAGGACATGTTGAGCTACGTGCTAATGTGTAGAATAAGCCCACACCTGTTCACTGTCAATCAAAAAGGTGTTGCTGCGGGTCTGAAGTAGTAGGGTCATTCTGCGGCCTGCAGGACAGAGGCGTGTCGTGAAGTAGGCGTGTAAACTATGCCTCCAGATCCATATAGTCTCATTAGAAATTCCCAGATACCCCTAAAAAGCAAAAATATGCTGTAATTTAACTGTGAGCCGCAACTCACAGCTCCTGAGCCGCGACTCACATGCTCCTGAGTCAGTGGTTAACGAACATGGAGAGCGATATAAACACATACCAGATGATGAAGAGTGTGTAACATACTGGTTAATATGCCTCCAGATCCACAATGTGTCATTAATAATCCACAGATACCCCTAAAAAGCTAAATTGATAACCGTGAGCCACGACCCCTGACTGCTGAGCCGTGACTCAGAGCTCCTGAGTCACGCGAGTCACCGGAAGTTGCCGTGAGTCGCAAATCGTGCTTGCCCTTTCTGCCTGGGCACGCAGAGGTGCAGAGACACCCATCAGTCTGCCGCTGACATATCGGGGCTAAACTCACTGCGGAGGGGGCGCATGCGTGGGGGCCCTAACAAGGTCATCCGGGGGAGCCCGCTGACAACTTGACTGATGGAAGCAGTGTAAGCAAAACAGAGATGGGTCAATCTTTTCAAAGAGTATGCTTGTACAGATTGTAATCAAGTATCTATTACATCCAAATTATATTACTGAATAAGTACAAATTGCTGTGTGACTCTTATTAAAGCTGGGGTACATAACTTTGAAAGCAAACTAATAGGAGAAATTAAAAAATGTTGCTCGCACTAAAAATTGTTTTAGAGTGAACACATTTTACTCAGCCAATGAGCTCCCTGAATGTGTGGGACCCATGATAATTAACATGTATAACAATTATGCTGTAATAATAACACCTCACCCACCTTCTATTTTTGTGTAAATTGTTATGTTGAAGTATAAGAACATTAGCATATTTTTAGACAGAAGAAACTCAGGTGCATCTTACATATTATTGTATATTGCCGTTCTCTTTGTACCGCCCCAAAACACCTCTCCATCGACTTCACAGAGGCAGCAGTCACTCCTTGGGGTGTATGCCTGCTGCAAGCCACGATCCTACTCGGCCTCAGAGAGACGCTTGCCGTGTGTGGGGGACATAACTGGCTATTGCATTCAAAAAACTTCTCTCCTTCTGCAAAATTTATAAAGCAACTCACCCTCAGTTCAAGATAAGATTTATATTTCAAGTTTTTAATAAATACTTAAGTTTTTGTTGTGCAGTCTGATTTCCATAACAGTTGGCAGAGGTCCATCTGTGGGGCTTCATGAAGGTAGGTGGAGAGCGTCACAAACAGTTATAGCAAACATACCAGATAGTAAACACATGATAATCTCTCCACTTGTTTATTGGTGCACAGTTATGCAGAAGTCTTATCCTCTCTGCCCTCGCAGTGACCCAGCATGTGTGTCCTGCTGCTTTTACGATCAGCTCGTTTGACAAGCCTTTGATTTATTTTTATTTTTTATTTCAATCACATAAAACAGTCAGGCAGAGCTCCCTGTCATGCCAAAGACGTATTCTCCTGATCGGGATGGACGTATCACTGCTTAAAAATAACAGGATAAAAATTGTTTATGGTAATAGCCTCATGTCATGTAATCAATAACAGAGTTTTCATTGAACATCACAAAGTGAAGCTAAATTTAAAAGATAGCCTTCTTGAACAAATATTTCTTTAGGGAAGCAACAGTTAAGGGTGTGGGGGTTGTACAACATCATCACCTAAATTAATATTCAGTATTAAGTAAAGTGTCAGAAAACTAGCAAGCATAAAGTAAATAAAGCCATAAGCAGAAGGACTTTGTATCTACTACTTGAGGGTTAGTGTTTGCCTTGTATTTTTTTTTTTTTTTACTACTTATTATTTCTTTTAGAATATGAACCAATTTATTTTACACTGAAATAACAACAAATATCATTGTTATAAATGTAACCACACTTCTGAAATGTAAATGTTCTGTTCCAACACACATGATTACTCATTGCTCCAACACATAGATAAGGATATGTTCAAGATTCAAAATAGTAAGAATTATTGTTGGAAATATAAATATAATATTTATATTTTTTTATCTTGGTGTATTAAAATTTTATGTGCAAAATGAGCACACGTTGGAAAATAACAGTATAAATATTAGGCCAGAGTGACCTGCGGCTTCATTTCAGAGTGACACGATCTCAAGGTTTTGTCATTAATCTGTCTCTCGTATCAAGTCTGTCTCAGTATTCGCTTGAGCAGCTTTCCTTCCCACAGCGTGACAGCGTTATTTTGTCACTACTTTCCAATATCCGTTACATCGAATATAGTTTTCCACAATTGATCTCCCCATTCGTCTGATGTGCTGAACAGTGTGGGACTGACCGCTGCAATGACCCAACGTGACCCGGAACATAGAGATCTGCTGTGCTATTACAGCGCTGCACGAGCTTGGTTGACCTTATGTCTTATTTTGATTAAAATCTGAAAAGACAAACATAATTGGCACTCTCAGTTTATGAGAGCCAGGGACTGCATGGCTGAGGTCCTGACCTGCAGTTTGGGGCCCCCCAGGGGGCCGTCCTCATGACATTCCTCTTCACTCTCTTTCAAACATGACATGGACAGTTGTGTCCTACAGAAGTTCTCTGACGACTCTGCCATCATCGACTCATCACTGAGGACGACAACGCAGAGTACAAAGGAGTCATACAGGACTTTGTGAACTGGTGTCAGCAGAACTCCAGCCGCTATTTTGTGCTTAGAATCCAAGATGAAAGTGGTGAGGACTGCAAAAGATAATTATTACTATATTTAGCCCTTTTTGCTCAAATCTTCACATACCCATTTGGTTCCCAGGTCGCAGCGCATTCATGGGTGTTGGATTCGGAGACCGAGGAGATGCCTTTGACTTCAATGTCGCACTTCAAGACCATTTCAAGTGGGTGTTCTTTTTATATTCTAACTTCATTTCTATGATCATATTATATATATATATATATTTTGTTATTTTTTTTACAGATGGGTCAAACAGGACATTGAGTTGTCAAAACAGGCACAGGCTCCAGACACAACTCCTAAACTGGATTTGGGATTTAAAGAAGGCCAGACAATAACTTTGAATATTGGGGTAACGGTTTTCCCTTAATAGTTAAAGTAACATCCTCCTTTTCCTGTTTTAAGGGTAATTAATGACAACTTATTAACGTGTTAACTCATGAATTATGATTGGGCTGCAAGCATTTGGTGACACTAAAGATTATGGTTGTGGGCCCAAATGAAAATAACATATGAACAATTGAGTGGTTTTCGGTGGATTGGGCCCAATGATTTATCAGGTTATCAGGAGCAAAATATTTAAAGAGGCTTAAGAAAATGGAAAGAAGAAATAGGGAGAATGAGGGAAAAAATCTTCAGTGTTCGCACAGCCCTTGACACAACCCTAGGGTCCAGTGTTTTTCTGCCTCCTGGGGAAATGTTTAGCCAAATCTAAGCCAGATCTGAAACAGGGATTTTCTTTAGAGCTAAATGAGGTCTAATTCAAATAGGACACAGTAGTTGTAAATGAGAAAGAACACATACGAGTTTTGATTATCTACATGTTTATGACCATCATTTTTTCAGCAATCCAAGAAGAAGGATCGATCTCGTCCACAGAGCTCTGGTGGTCTGGGGCTGCTCCCACCGCCGCCTGGAGGAAAACTGGCCCCGCCCCCATCTTCAAGAACCACTAATCACAACACACAGCCGGCGACTACAGGAAGTGATGTAGGTACAAGTTTTTCTATCGAGACTCCACTCAGAACTATTGCACTGTACTGAGGCCCAGTCCCAATACCCACACTGCACCCTACGCCCTCCTATGAAGTGTGCATTTGTTTGAAGTGCACGCAAGGGTTTGAGTGCGCAGGTTGCAAGTGTGCAAAAAAGGTGGAATTGGGACAGTGCACACTGAGTGCAGTTTACGTCATCGACTCGTCAAGAGATGGTCATTTTCAGACCTAAACTTTATAAAAAATAAAGGTAATTTTGTCTGACCCTTTGGGAAACAATATGAATTGCTTCACACACGTTATAATACATTTATATTAGTTGTTTTTAATTAGAGATAGCTGTATAATTTTAAGTTAAATGTGGGTAACTAACTATCTGGTCAGTTTTCATACATTCTAAGATTATTGAACTAAGTGTAAAGTTTAAATTGAATGTTATATAAAAGCTTGCTTTAAAAAGTTATTAAATTGTTAAAGCACAATGTCAGTAATTCTTCATCAGGCGTTTATGCTTCTTTCCAAGTAACAGCAAAACTTATTTACACACATACTGCATATATACTTCAAAATTTATATTTAATTGCATTTTCCCGTCGTTTTGGTGTGTACCGCAAAGAATTATGGGCAATATCCTTCGCCAGAGTGTGCATAGATGCAGGCTACGGCGAAGTGTGGATCAGGGGCGCAAAGGGGGCGGGGCCAAAGACCTCCCTGGAGAATTGGGACACCCTACGCACTCGCACCCTTTATCGGGAACGCGCAAATGAGGGGCGCGAGGGTGGAAGTGCGAGTATTGGGACGGGGCCTGACTTTACCCCTGACTTTATATATATATATATATACATATATATATATATATATATATATATATATATATACATATACATATACATATATATATATACATATACATATACATATACATATACATATATATATATATATACATATATATTTATATATATATATATATATATATATACATATACATATACATATATATATATATATATATATACATATACATATATATATATATATATATATATACATATACATATATATATATATATATATATATATATATATATATATATATATATATATATATATATATATATATATATATATATATATATATATATTATATATATATTATATATATATATATATATATATATAATTATATTATATATATATATATATATATATATATATATATATATATATATATATATATAACGTATTGTGATTTCTAGCTCGTAGTGAAAAAAAATATTTATTTGAATATCTCGCAAAAAGTAAAATGAACTGAACTTTGAACTAGTTCAGAATTAAAATTGAGAACTTCGAACGTGAACTGTTCACTTTGAGCATGTATGAACTGAACTTGAACTAGTTCAGAAAAGCTGTGAACTGGCACAACACTGGCCAAAGCTTTACTGTCATTGGGCCAGAGCAAAATTAAACAAATGTGACGTCACACGTCGGCTACACAGCCAGGCCAGCCTAGCAGTGCACCCAGTGTAGCTTCCCCGGTTGAAATGAGTGGTCTCTCCAACTGATGGTTCATACACGTTTTTATTTTTCCTTTTATATGAGCTAGTAGTAGTAAGTAGTAGTAAGCTTTATTTATATACCGCCTTTCACAGACCAGAGTCACAAAGCGGTTTACAATTGTTATTTTTTGGGCACTTGTCCTCTCACTCCACACAGAGCGGGGTCGCCGAACAGGAGGCGCATGCCAGACCTATTGTACATATTTTTTTAGTGAGCTGTAACGATGTGATTTTACCTTACTACTTTTTTAACAATAATTGATTAGCTTGTTATAGTTATACACTAATGAACACTTAGTTCATTGTGTGTGTGTGTGTGTGTGTGTCTTTATTCTCACTAAACTCCATAAACGTTACGTTGCTAAGCAACGTACAACAATCCTTAAACGTCCGAGATTATATAAACAGTCAATATAAAAAAAATAAAGAAAACAAAAGTTTTGACAGTCAATCTTAAAACTATTAAAAGAACATCAAAATACAATGACAAAAACCCAAATTTAGAACCTTGTTTGGCCTGAATGGATGAAAAGCTCCCGGCCTGAAATGTTGTCTCACTCCGGCCCTGCTTACCTTCATAGTTGAACACATATTTTTCCACAAACAACTTGTAGTCCTTTTCCAATTTTGAACATGTTGTTAGTGACAACTGAGATGCTATCCGTATCACGTCCCCCATTGTCATTTTTGGCAAATTCCGCAAGGATTTTGAGAAATTGGTCGCGCTGGCCGAATCCATTCTTGTCGTCCTTTACAGAAACAGCGCACCGGAAGTCGTCATACCCGACATTTCATTTACTTCCGCATTGTGACGTCAACCGTGAAATAGGCCTATTCATAATGATTTTAATTGAATAAAAATAAACATATTTACAGTACGCCAGATAATGATACATAACTCTCTCTAAAGTTAACGCGTTACCAACCTGTCATGTTGAGGAGTAATCTTTGAATGTATTAAAATGTATTGTGTAACGTTCATATCCAGGTAAAAAACAGTTCTGTTTTGCTGTGATTATGTATTTATTATTATATCATAGCATATGTATAGCATCATAATTAATGTATTATTTATGATGCTAAGCATGATTTTCATGCTTCTTTCTGAACTTTTTTTTCTAAATCATGGCCTACATCCATAGACTGTATATATTTACCAAGCCCCGGCGATCCAAGATGGCGCCCTATTCAAATGAATGGTTGTGCTCAGTGGCGCTTTGTGACAGCATGGGGGCTGAAAAGATTAGCGGAAGTTGCCTGAAACTCGCAAAGATCTATGGGAAACTCGCCTGTATTTGGGCATCGTCTGGTCCTCCCGGTTCTGTGCAGTGGATGATCTCCCATAATGCGTTGCGCCAAACACGCGTGTGTGGGTCTCACACCGGGTCTCACGCACGTGCACAGAGGGGCTCGGCCGCGCTCTGACCAATCAGAGCAGCTCATCAGAGCGGGAGTTAGAGCGAGAGCCAGACGAGGAGAGTCTGTGGCACTAAAGTGTGGATTTAAACAAAACCGAAGGATTTAAGAAGAAAAAAAGTTCAGGATGACAAGGGACACTAAAATCCCCACAAAATCCGATCTTTATTAAAGCTGTAGGTTCTCTGTCAGCTGAGGTCGAGCTGTTTTAATATGCATTGAGTTCTATGGGGAAAATTTCTGGGTAGCCCACGTGAATTTAGTCTGGTTCAGTCTGCAGTACCGCGAGAATCCCCTGAGCACATGAGTTATTCAGCTACAAGCTGTAATACCCTATCCAGTTAATATAATACATCCATGATATTTACATCCATGATTAGCGCTAGCAACCTACTTCCTGTTTAGACCGGAAATTGTCAAAATAAACTTTTTTTACTGATAGTATAACAAAAGTGCTAAATAACCTTTACACTGTCAATTTGGGAAAATATCGTGTCCATAAGAGTAAGTGACTCATTCTAAGCAATGTTGGTGAAGTGTGTTGCCTGAGAGCACAACGACAGTTTTGCTCAGACAAACACACACACACACAAACACACACACACTGTTGGAGCCAGTTTCCTATGTTTTCCTTTGCTGCCTCCTGCCACTGTGTGGCGCCACCTCGATAGTATGCCCTATATAAGTGGGGCCCTAATGAAAGACAGGTGTTGGAAAACCCTCATCTGTTGGGAACCGCATTCAAAGGATCTTGGCCGGAAGTGCCTGATTGCGCTGCGCCGTGGTGTTGAGTTGAGCGTTTTTCTTTTTTTCGTCTCGTGAGTTGTTTGAAAACAAAACCCAAAAACACAGTTCTCTGTGGGAAAACCACTACCAATCTCCAAGGAGATTGTGCATGATCACAATATGGCAGGGTCGGGGGGACTACTGCTGGAGTTTAGTGAGGATAGCATGGAAGAGGGTGAAATGTGTGGTAACAGAAAGAGAGGGCTAAGTCATGGCAGTGAGTCAGAGGACATGAGTGAGCGAGTGGTGAAGCGGAAAGTGGACCAGGAAGGATTTAAAGTGTTGATTAAGTTTAAGGAGGGTCATGATATTAAAACGGTAGGTCCTGTCGCTCTTAGCAGATATTTGCGTGAGAAAATAGGTGAAATTGCTAGAGCTAGAGTGCATTCGGATGGTGACTTAATGATAGTGTGTAAAGATGAGAGCCAGCAGTTGAAGGCTTTGAAGATAAAAAATGTCTGTAAGAAAGAAGTCTTGGAGAGTAAGAAAAGAGTGGCAACGGGAGAGGCCTGTAGGGGTGTGATCTATGGTATCCCTGTAAACGAGGACTTGGGGAAGCTAAAGGATAACATTCAGGGAGGACGCGTATTGAGTTTAAAGAGACTTAATGCATGGAGATCCGGAGAAAAGGTAGAGAGTCTGTCTGTAATGGTGGAGTTTCAAGGAGAAGTATTGCCGAAATATGTTACTGTAGGATATTTAAATTTCAGTGTAAGGCTGTATGTGCCGCCGCCATTGCGGTGTTACAAGTGCCAGAAATATGGACATATAGCTGCTTACTGTAAAGGCACACAGACATGTGGACGGTGTGGAGGAGGGCATGACTATGGAGCATGTGGAACTGGGGTTCCAGAAAAATGTACAAATTGTGGGGGTGCGCACAGTGTTGGGAACCGAGAGTGTGTCGCCAGGAAGAGGGCAATTGAAATCCAGCATATTAGGACTGCAGGGAAGATGTCCTATGCTGAGGCAGCCAGAAGAGTTCCGACTGGGCCAAATACAGCGAGAAGTGAGAGGATCAGGGCTGATGATGAGGTGCTAGTGGTAAAAAAGAAAGAGTTCCTGTGCTTTATTGCAGAAGTTGTTAATTGTACGTCACAAGCAAAACACAAGTCTGAGAAAACTGCTATTGTTGTAAAAAGTGCTGCGAAATATTTAGGTATTAAAGGTGTCAAGTGGGAGAATATTCATGAGGAACTTAAGAATCAAGATGAATCTGGGAAGCCAGTAGCTGGGTCACAGTCTTCACGGCAGCTCACGCCTGTGTCACAAGGAAAAAACTAAAAAAAAAAAAAAAAAAAACATTTATTTTTTTACAGTGGAATGCTAGAAGCTTGATAGCAAATGGACAGGAGTTCAAGAGATTTATCTCTGAATTAGAGGTCAAGCCAGTGGTTATTTGCATTGTTGAAACGTGGCTGAAACCTCATTTGAGCTTTGTCTTAAAGCTGCACTAACTGAGTTTGGGATTTTGAAGCCGCGGACTCGCTGGCCTCGCTCTTTCTGCTCCCCTCCCCGCACCCACGAAGCTATCGCCCCCCACACACACCCAGTGTTGAGACGGAGCTAGCCTCTCTCAATATGGATAATACATGAATATGGATTTTCACGTGGATGGCGTGACCATAGAACGATAGAACCGGGAAGCGCGGAGGAACGGGACTTTCTTTTGGATGGCTGTCTTGCTGTGTAAGCAGTAACCGGTGACGAAGACACAAAGTTTCAGGTTAGCTCCGCCGCTTGTTGTGCTAACTCAGCCGTCTATGCTAACGAACCTGTAGATTTCTCACGAAAGTGGGGGCTAGTGGTGCGCTGTGATTGGTCACAATCTGCGACCCGAAACACATTCTCTTCCTTGTTTCATCAAAACTCGATCTAAAATATAATGTCACGCCAGCACAAATCTGCACTACTTTTTCTTCAAAAGGACGTATATCCCAATGCACTACATGGACATGGATTTCATTTTCGTAATTAATACAAAAATAAAGTCAGTTAGTGCAGCTTTAAATGGGTATGTATGTGAGCGTAGTGATAGAAATGATAGTAGTGGGGGTGGATGTGCGACTTTTATCCAGAAAGGGGTTCCCTATAGAGTTTTAGGTAAGGGTGAACAACTAGAATATCTAACTGTTGAGATTTGGTGGGAAAAGGGTTGTCTAACGGTAGTAAATTTTTATAACCCTTGTAAAAGACTTGAGATGGATGCGTTAGAGTCGATTGACTGTCAAGGAGGAAGGAATGTAATATGGCTTGGAGATTTTAATGCACATAGTGTCCTTTGGGGAGGGGAAAAAACGGACCACAATGGGTTGGTAATAGAAGAGCTCATGGATAGGAAAGAATTGGTGTGTGTGAATGATGGGTCACCTACTCGAATTGGGTTCAATGTGCAATCGGTATTGGATCTAACTTTAGTACCTCAGTCTCTTGCGGACCAAATAGTCTGGGAAGTATATGATGAATCAACAATGGGAAGTGACCACTATCCAATAATGAGTAGAATGGGCAGCATGAATGGCACTGTTAGAAAACTTTCCTTTGAGAGGTGGAATTTTAGTAAGGCGAATTGGGCAATGTTCACAGTTATAAGTGATAGGAACATGGGTCAAGTTGAGGTAATGGATGATGTGGATGAGTTCAATAAGAATGTGACAAAAGCTATAATAGACGCCGCAAAGGAATCAATTGGGTTGACAAAGGTAGGAAATGGGAAACGGAAAGCAGTTCCTTGGTGGACAGATGAGTGTACACAAGCGATTAACAGAAGAAATAAAGTGTTTAAAGATTTTGTGAAGAGCTTAAGCTCCCAGATGTATATGGAGTATAAAAGGGAGCAGGCCAAGGTCAGGAAAATAATCAGGAGGACTAAAAAAGAGTACTGGAGAAAGTATTGTAATACAATTAGGAGGCAAACCTCTGTAAATGACGTCTGGAGGGTTGTTAAAAAAATGAGTACGGCAATCTTGGAGCTATCCAGTCCTTAAGAGCAATGATACTGTGGCTGTGAAAGATGAAGAGAAGGCAGCACTAATGGTAGAAACTATAGCCAAGATTCATAGTGGGTTTAATTTGACTGAAGCGGAAAGGAACCGAAGAAAGGAAACAAAGCAACAACACCAGTGTTTGTTAGAGTGCGTAGAGGATGGTGATGACTGCTTGAATGCTAGCTTCTCAATAAACGAACTCAAAAAAGCTATAAATAAGGCTAAGGTCACAGCTACAGGGAAAGATCAGGTAAGCTATGCAATGTTAAAACATCTTGGTAAGAATGGTATGAATGTGATGCTTGAGCTGTTTAGCAAGGTGTGGGAACAAGGGGAAAGTCCAAAAGACTGGAAGATGGCTGTAATTATTCCTATCAGAAAGCCAGGGAAAGATCCAACTATGGCCTCAAACTATAGACCAATTGCTTTGTCATCCCACCTGGGTAAGGTAATGGAGAGGATGATTGTGGAACGGCTTACTTTTTATGTTGAATCACGAAATTTGATGTCACCATTTCAAAGTGGATTCAGGAAGGGAAGGTCGACTATGGACCCTCTTATTAAGTTGGAAAGTGATGTTCGTAAGGCTCAGGCGTGTAAAGAAATAGTTGCAGCTGTATTTTTTGATGTTGAAAAGGCATATGATATGCTTTGGAAAGATGGAGTTCTAATCAAAATAAGGAAAATGGGAATAAAAGGGAGAGTATATAACTGGATCAAAGACTTTTTGAATAATAGGCAAATTCAGGTTAGAATAAATAATTGCTACTCTGAGTGTGTCATGGTTGATAACGGTGTGCCCCAAGGAAGTGTTATTTCACCAATTTTATTTTCTATTATGATAAATGATATATATCAAACAATTGACAGGAGTATAGGGAAATCAATATTTGCAGATGATGGTGCTCTCTGGAAGAGGGGAAAAAACATTGGGTTCACTGTTAAGAGTCTTCAAAAAGCAATTATGCAGTTGAAGAATGGGCAGGGAAATGGGGATTCCGGTTCTCTGTTGAGAAAACAAAAGTGGTGTTTTTCTCCGCTAAGAAGATCGATGAGAAATTCAAATTTTACATGTATGGTAGAGATCTGGAAAGAGTTAGTTGTATGAGGTTTTTAGGGTTACATTTTGATGCTAAACTCACTTGGCGTAACCATATTGAAAAGGTAATAGGCAAGTGTAAGAAAGTTATCAATGTAATTAGATGTTTGTGCTGTAAGGAATGGGGAGCAGATTTAGTTTCAATGAAGAGATTATATGTTGGTTTAATTAGATCTATTGTTGATTATGGATGTCTGGCTTATGGATCAGCTGCTAAAACTGAACTGAAGAAGATTGACGTTGTCCAGGGGACTGCCCTAAGACTCTGCTCAGGGGCAATGAGAACCTCCCCGATGCCAGCGCTTCAGGTCGAAGTCGGTGAGATGCCATTTGAACTGAGACGTTTACAATTATCACTGTCATATTATATTCACTTAAAGACACATATGGAAGATCATCCAACCAAAAGTGTCCTCATCCAAACGTGGGAGCAACAAAATGTAAAAGAGAGTCGTTCAGTACAAGTATACACAAAAAGGCAAAGCAAGCTGCAATAGACAACCTGGAACTAAGCTCATCAGTGGTTTATCCACCGCATCCCCCATGGCTGCTGCCAGTTCCATATGCAGACACGTCCTTGCATGACAAGTTGATAAGCTTTCAGGGAGATAGTGGACAGTTAGCTATGATGTATGTGGATAGCCACTATGGATATGTGCAAATTTTTACTGATGGATCAAAACAACCAGATACAGGGAAAGTAGCAATAGCATATGTGGTACCAGAGTTTGACATACAGTTTTCTGCAAGAGCCTCAGATCACATATCAGTCTATACAGCAGAGTTGATCGCTATTGTTATGGCACTACAATGGGTAGAACAAATTAGACCGCTAAGAGTTGTAATATGCTCTGATTCATTGTCAGCATTAGAGAATTTTAAATCTGGTAATGTAAGTGAAAGATATGACATAGTGTGTGAGATATTAACTTTGCTGCATAATATTGAGGCTGGGGGAACACATGTTAAATTTGTTTGGGTTCCGGCTCATGTAGGTCTGATGGGAAATGAGCTGGCAGACAAATTTGCTAAACAAGCCTTGAAAGCAACAGCTGTATCTGTAAAGTGTAAAATGTCGAAATCAGAGGCAAAGTCAATCATAGTAAAGCATGTCAAAGGATTGTGGCAAGAGAAATGGGAGAGAGAAAACAGAGGTAGGGGTCTTTATAAGATAACTCCTGTGGTTGGTCAGGGCCGTCGGGTCATGAGATGTAGAAGGGAAGAAACCATTTTAACGAGAATGAGAATAGGGCACACTGGTCTTAATACCACATTGCATCTAATAGGGAAGCATCCGTCAGGAAACTGCGATGACTGTAAGGTGTCAGAGACAGTGGAACATATTTTAATCAAATGCAGAAAGTTTAAAAGAGACAGGATTTTACTTAAAAGGAAAATAGAGGATTGTGGGGAAAAGTTTACCCTAAAAGACATATTATCTAAAGAATCAGACCATAGAGTGATAACATATTTGTTTGATTTTTTAAAACACACTGGACTCGTTAGAAGAATTTAAAATATGCATGCATAAGTTATCTTTTTTGTTTTAGGAACTGTAGCTTGCATGCTACGAAACTGATTCGGAAGTTGTAAGCCATAGAGGTGACACATGCACGATCTATCTGGTGGGTGGCGGTAATGCGCTGCACTAGTTCGCAACCGCCGTTAAGCAAAGAAGAAGAAGAAGAAGACAGGTGTTGTAGTGTGGAGGCAAACATCTTTCGACCGTTGTTTGTTACCACAGCTTTATATTTGTGTACTTGGCAACAATAAAGGATTGTAGAACACAGTATTTTGCTCTATTTGGATGGTGAGAGACACGCGTCCTAGACGCCAACACACTGCATCCAGCGGACCTTGCACAGGGCAAGTTTTGGCCGCTACATTGTCGAAAGATAGCCTCAGGTACCTTCTCACCGTCTGGGCGTGAAGATTGCGTCAGCTGTGATTGGCACAGCGCGGTTTCCTGGAGAGGAGTGGACCCACGACTACCGTGGCGGTGACTCGTTGCGAACCGGCGGACTGTCGGCGGGAAGGAGGAAAGGGCAAAAACACCGGAGAGAGCACCGGCGTCCCCCACCACCAGCGCGGGCGATGGAAGACTCGGCGCGCAAACTGTCCTGCAGCGGAGTGGCCCGCGGAGGAGCTCGGCACCGCGTTTGGAGAAGGCTACGCGTGGTGAGCAGTTCTGATTTCTGTGTGCGACATAGGGCCGCACAGACTACACGTTTAGGAGCGGTACATGGACTGTGAGGTGGACACTGTAAAAAGGAACACTGTAAAAAATGTGCACCAGGGATTTGAACAAAACGGACAAAAAAGAGAGAGCTTCAGCTGCTGCAGCTTTGGTTAAAATGAAAGCTAAGCAAGCTGTGCTTCTAGTTAAAATGTCATTTTTGGAAGAGAAATATGAACTGGAAGCAAAGCAACTAGCCATTAAGAGACAATTGGAAGAGCTGGAATTTGAAACCAAAATGGCTGAAGTGACAGCTAAACTTGCAGTGTTGAATGCCTCAAAGAAGCATCGGCATAAAAATAAATCTCTTCCAATAGAGCCTAGGGTGCAAACACAAGTCCCAACCACAACTGTCCCTGCAGTTGTAAAAGAAACTAGGACTGATGATGACTGGGATGGATTTAACTGGGAGCCACCAGTTTATGTACCCACTTTGGTGGATGCGCTTGAGCCAACAGGGGCCGGTAGTGCCACACAAATGGCTGATGTGAACTGTTCATCTTCACCAGACCGTCAGGAGGACTTTGAGATTTCCCTTATGGACCATGAGCGAACGGTGACTGTTGCGGCTTCCTGCAGACCTGAGCCGCTGAGCCGGTCAGAGTGGGTCCTGTAATGTGATGACGCGTATTGAAGCCTATGCTAATAAATCCTTGATCCTGGTATTGCGTTTTAAAGTGATTTATTAACTTAAAAAGGTGCAGCAAACAAAGTATGGAAAAATGATAAACTGCTGAACTGTAACATAGAACCTGATGTGAGCAAAAGAAGAGGTATAAGGCAAACAAATGAACAAAACGAACAAACGGTCAACAAAAAATACGGCTACCCACTCAGCCCTGACTCATCACTCGCCTGACAGATACACGCACACTTTTACCCCTGCTCGTGCACGCGCACCTGCCCCGTGAGCCCCGCCCCCTGCTGTGCAGCCACACACACACCCAGTGAACCCTGATCTGTCTCCTACACACCAGCCCCTAATTATTAGGCAACACATAATAATTACCTTCCAAAAAACATAATAGGAGACACATACATGGCATAAACGTATTCAAAACCAGTAATAGATCAAATAGTCCATAAATCCACATTCACAATAGTCCATCTTCTGGTCACCTCATGACCAAATAGTCCACAGTCTTGGTGGTCAGAGTCAAACAATGTCCAAAAATGTTCAAAAGTCAAGCAAAATAAACACTAACGACTTTTGGAAAGAACTAGTAAGCGAGAGCAGCAACGCCCTCATGCTGCCTCCTCAGTCTCTAACAACAGACTGACCTTTGTTATGGGTCTGTCCAGAACACTAGATTTTGTCTTGATTCGGACTTGACGAACAAAACCCTTTTGATCCGGATACGTCTGAATCACACGTCCCATAACCCACGAATTCCTCGGAGCTGTATTGTCCATTAAAAGAACTAGATCTCCTTCGACAAGGTTTCTTCGGACTCCAGTCCACCTCTGTCTCTCCTGTAACAGAGGCAAATACTCCTTCGTCCATCGCTTCCAAAATAGATCAGATATGTACTGAACTTGTTTCCATCTCCTCTGTGAGTACAAATCTGCGGCTTGAAACACTCCTGGTGGTAATGTGGGCTGACCTTTGAGCAGTAACAGATGGTTTGGTGTTAGTGCTTCCAAGTCGTTTGGATCCGTGGATGCTTTACTGATGGGCCTGCTGTTAATAATGGCCTCCACTTCACAAAGAACTGTATGAAGTCCCTCTTCATCCAGGTGTTGCACTTTGAGAGTGGAGTTCAGAACTTTCCTCACCGATCTGATCAGCCTTTCCCACAATCCTCCATGATGTGATCCAGCTGGTGAGTTGAACGACCACTTGATTCCCTTTTGGAGTAACACATCATGCACTTGTGCCTGATTCCATTGCTCTATAGCCACTTTCAGCTCACGTTCTGCTCCCACAAAATTTGTTCCATTGTCCGAGCGCAGCTCACAGACTTGTCCTCGTCTCGCTATGAAGCGTCTCAAAGCATTTATAAAAGAGTGAGTATCCAGAGAAGGTGCAACTTCGATGTGAATAGCTCTCAGTGCAAGACATGTAAATATAACACCATAGCGTTTCACTGTACTCCTCCTGCTCTTCACCTCATGAAACTGGGGATCCCTCTGGAGCCTCCTCTTCAGGTGGTCTAAACGTTGCTCTACCACCTTCTTGTTATTGGGCATGGTGACCTGTGCCCTCTTAAACGGTAAAGCAATCTGGTAGCGACCATTGAACTGTTTGGTTGACTTTTTGACCAGCTCCATAAACCTCAAGTCCTCTCGAGACGGGCCAACTTGTTCCTCCCCAGCAGACTCTGGGAAATCCATCCTGAATTGTTGTTGCCACATTTGATCCAATTCCACAATAGACACTCTGTTCACAGTCACTGGCTTCACACAGTAGTCGGCCTCTCCACTGTTTCCTGTCAGTGGTCCGTTTACCGTCCAGCCCAATGCTGTTCTTATTGCATATGGTCCATTGCTCTCACTGCGAATTACTTCCAGTGGCTCCATGGCCTGTGGGACATTGGTCCCTATCAACAAATCAATCCCACTCTCAATCTGTGGTAATGAGAGGTGTCTCAAATATGGCCACGCTTTCAGATCCTGCTTCATTGGAATGTTTGTCCTGTCAACTGGCATGGACAACTGTGTATAGGCCTTTGGGAGAATGATGAACTGATCATCGTCAAGGGCTGCGACCTCCAGCTCCGGCACAACGTAACTCGTGATCACCTTCTCCTGCCCCATTGTCCTTAACAGTACATTCGCCTTTCTCCCCGTCAGGTGGAGCCTGTGCATCAAACTCTCAGTACAGAATACCGCAGTACTGCCCTGGTCCAGGAAGGCATACGTAAGGATGATTTTGCTGCCTTTCCTAGCCTTAACTTGTACCGGTACGATAGGGAGTTTGCAGTCCTGCTCACCAGCCCCTGTAAGCCCACTGGAAACCAGAGTTCTGTCCACCAACACATGGGCACCTTGCTTGGCCTGTTCTGTGCTTGCTGCACTGTCTTTATGGAGCACTGTGGGGTGTCTACGATCACACTTTGAGCACGACATCCTCTTTTGGCAATTTCTGCTGATGTGCCCTGTGCACAGACAACTGAAGCATGCCCCTTTTTCCTTGAGGAAGTCGATTTTCTCCTTGTGCGTCATTTTCTCCAACCTCGCACATACGTCCAATGAATGTGCTCCATTGCAGCATGAACAGCTCTTCATTGCACCGTCTGGCTTTGTGTACTTGATTCTCAGTGAGGGCTGTGCATTACTTTTGACTGAATTGATGGTTGTAGCAAAACTGGTCCCTTTGTAACTGGATTGTTTGTAGGGCTTAGGTTTACTTATATTTTTGGTGAGTGTTGCAGTTGTGTCTTGAATGTTTCCAAAAACCGGGTCTGTTAGTATCTTAACTTGCCGCTCTACGAAGTAAGCAATGTCAATAAACCTTGCTCTTCGGCTGTATTTCTCCTGCAAGTCACAAGCATGACTTCTCCAGCGATCTCTGAGTTTGTAGGGCAGTTTTTGGATAATGTCCAGCATGTTTGCAGGTGTGTCCAGGTCGTTTAGATACTGCACATCTTCCATAGCGTTGCAGCATCCGCGCAGGAAGAGGCTGTACTCCTGGAGAGCCTTCACGTCCTCAGTTTTAATAGATGACCATGACAATGCCCTGTCCATGTACGCTGCTGCCACCTTCTGTTCATTTCCATAATGCTCTTTCAATAATGCTTTAGCTCTTATGAACCCTCTGTCAGAGTCGAGGTGATGACAGCTCCTAACTAGCTCCTTTGCATGACCTTTTGTATATTGTTCCAGAAAATAAAGTTTATCACTACTGTTGTTTGTGTTTCTTTGAACTCCATTTTCAAAAGCTCGTATGAAAGAATGATACTCAAGGGGGTTACCGTCAAACATGGGAATTTCTCTTTTTGGAAGTGCGGAGAGGCTTTGCTGTTGCATTAGAAGTGTACTGATTTCATTTTGTTTTCTCATTATGTCCAACACGCTGTCATTTTGTGAGCCATTATCATTGTTCTGTACATGTTCTTGTTGTGTCCTGTTTTCTTCATGTTCTGGAGAAGTTAAATAGCGCTGCAGAGTGAATGAAGGGTGCTCTGCATTCTCAGGTAAGTTTACTTTTGGTTTTACAGTTGGTGGTGTGATGTTATGGATGCTGCGTTTGGATTTCATTGTTTGTAATGGGACAAATTCAGTGGCATTGACATTGAGGTTTTTAGAATGTTCCTTTTCACAATATGAATTCATTCCATCAGACACTTTAGACCTTGTTCTTGAACCAAGGCTGCTTTGTGCTTTAATTATGCTCAGTTTGGTCATTTCTTCAACCACTTCGCTTTCCAACAGAAATTGTTCCTTCCTTCTGCGCAGCTTTAACTCCTCTTCTTCTATTGCGTATTTTTCTTTCAATATTTTTTGTTTCGAGGCCAAAACTGCCAGATTTGTTTCACTCTTGAGTCGAGCAGAGGCACGTGAAGCAGAAGTGCAGTGTGAGCGTGACTTTTTGCTTGATGCGTTCGAGGCGCTGTCACCGGGGCGCACAGTGTCCTGTGCGTAATGTGCGTTTGGCACCTTTGGCACGCGCTCTGTGTCTGGCGCTAGAGCAGGTGCGCTAGGCTCAGTTGACTCTGCGAGCTCAGCTTTGTTTCCTGCTTCAAAGTGTTGCTCATTTTTGTTTGACTGGACAGAACTTTCGCATCCATTTTCCCGTTTCCATTTCTCAGCATTTTCTTTGAATGTTTCGCTGTATTCCACGATTGCTGTGAACCACTCATTATGTTTCTCAGTCTCGTGCTCTGGTAGAAGAGGCAAAAGTTCATTGTGCAGCTGCGTGGATTTTTCCAACAATTCCTCCACAGTGTTCATTTGTGAAATAACTTTAGACATAATTTCCTTTGAGCTCATTTGCGCTTTTATTTGTGGGATAAGCGCCTTTAATTTATTCACGGCGGCTTTGCGCTCACTTTGGAGCCGTTCAATCTTGTTTTCTAAAGCCTTTTCAGTGAGTTTTATTTCTCTTTTGCCACTTGACATTTCCATGTTTGAACCTGTAGCACTTTCACTTATTTGACTCATTTCCTTGTGTTTTTATTTCATGTGGACCAACAATAAAAAGCATCAAGTGCGCATCGAAATTTCATTCGTGAACATTGCATTTAAAATTCATTGACAGTGCAGATATTTGTTACTTTTCTTCCCCTGCCCAGTGATCTCTTAACCGTAGTACAGAGGCTGAACAGGCGTAGTACTCGTTGGACGTATTTTTATTCCAAAAATAGAACAGGAGCATGACAGAGGAGCCTTAATGAAGAGAGGCCACTGCAGAACAGAGCGTTGAGCGCCAAAACAACGAACTACACAGACCCAAGACATCCCACAATGCACCGCTCTTAAAGGGCCAGGCTTGGCCTATTACACTACCCCCACTATGGATGATAAATAAAAACTTTTATATCACTCCAGCACAAAATAATGCACATTAGGAAATTATAATCAAACACTCCACCCTAGTGGTAATGTTCCAAGCCCACAGTCTTTGCAAACCATAGTCAAGTACTGATGGGGAACTCTGGCAAAGGTGACATACGTTAAACCTCATGACAAATGTACATCGCTTGGAGGAGTCCAGGTAGAAAGGTAGGTATGGGGTGAAGTGCATAGCTCGAATTGGAATGTCCTGCCTTAGCTCAGCTCATAAAATCTCCATTTAAACAGTCATACTCCTTTAACCTGCAAGGCACTTGTATATATAAATTCAATGTGCACACATAACCGACAAACAGTGCAAAAATGGCATGTACTAAACAACATGTAGTAAGCCTTCAACATTTTTAACATAACAGTAAACCATTTTATTTATTTATTTACTCCGATTAGGCAGGAATCTGACTCGGGGATAAAACACTTGTTGCAGAGACTAGTGACTAAGCCAGTCACCAAACTTATCAGGTGCTCTCCGTGTCCTCTGCGACCTGGACAGAGGGGCAGAGATCGAACGGTGACGCCGTCTCACGCTCTGCGATGTATGCCGAGTTCCAACCTCATCCCACTGAGGCTGTGTGGGGCTGGCAGGTGGTTGAGGGCCAGGTGATGAAGGACCAGCAACCTCTCTGGCGGCGGCCGGGGTATTCTCGAAGTCAGAGGTAGTGTCTCTGGTGTCTGAAGGGGTATCCTCGGAAGTAGTGTCCCACAGCTGAAGAGGGCCGAAGTCCGTGTCAGAGTCCACATCAGACACAGGGGGAGACACCTCCAGTGGTGTTGGTGTGTCGTTTCTCTGGAAAACCCAGCTGTTGTCGAGCAGGGCTCTGGAATGGAAAGGTTTGAGCTTGTCGTGGTGCACAACTTTAATCTTTGCCCTTGGACCTTTCTGGATCTGGTACACCAAGTCGTCCAGCTGACCCACGATAAAGTAAGGGCCCTCGTAGGACGGCAGGAACTTGCGGACCTTGTGTCTTACTCGTTTGGTGCCTGTTATAGAAATATATACCCCATGAAGGAGGAAACTCAAAGGTCCTTTGTCTGATCAAAAGCGTAAGTTTATTGTTAACGCACAGTGCGGAGAGTCAGCATATGCACACAACGGCAGCATGCTCAGCTCTGGGGGCCAGAGCCCCCAGCTTCCTGTATACAAAACACACACCAAAGATAGTCACGCCCACAACGGAGCGGAGGGGGCCACCGGTGAGGAGGCGCACAGGAAGCGCCGGCGCCATCCCCTGTGGTGGCAGTGGCATGGGGTGTGAACAGACAGACAATGGTGGAAATGCAGGTCATACAGATGCAAGACGGAAAGACACAGGGGTGTGACAGACAGCAGGGACCTTCACAAAGCTCAGCATGGCGTCAGAAGGTTGTCTGCATTGGTAAAAGGCCTTTGACGTCCGTGTATTTGCTGCGGCTGGTTTTAATGTAATTACTCCAAAAACTGTCACCACACTCCCCTCTTCTGATAATTCAAAACCATTTTTGCATTAATCAGTTAAATACCAGAGGCATCGTAATCACACCACCTTCAAGCTTGAAACACTTAAATTATTGCTGTCCAAAGTGGACAGGAAAAGACACATGCTTGTCAATAAAAGAAAGAGCACATTATAATAACACAATGGATCCGGACAGCGATAAGAGAAGGCAATATTAACATAATAAACACGGTCAGCACGGAAAGTAGTGTCAGTGTGGCCAGCATAACAGTCCAAGGGCCCATGCCGGTCTACGTTCGGTAGTCTTTTCCGCGGGAATACTCACGAGCAGTGCCGTCTCGCAGTCAGTGGCACCGCTCCCTATGAGCGTGTGTGGAGCGTTAGTGGTCATGGCGATGTTTGGTCTTGGAGCGGCAAGACTCTATTTGCGTTGAAGCCTTGGCCTCAGCACTCGGTTGGGCAGAGTGCTCGGGGTTTGGGGTGTGGCGACCATGGCTTGAGCACGCTCCAGATCGGCCAGGCCCAAAGCTCGTTTGATGGGAGACCTCATGACAGCACGCTTCACCATGTGCCTCATCAGGAACTGTAGAGCAGCCCTCATCTCCACCTCCTCCGGACACACGGGAGACGAGACACCAGGGGGCACTCCAGCAGAGCTCCAATCTGCATTATGGCCAGAGGGAGCAGGCTCTGGAGAAATCTTTGGAATGAGCAGCAGCTCTGCATACTTGCTGCGGCTGAGCAGAGCGCTCAGGGCCTTCATGGCTCCCAGGCCTTGGGGTCCGGGGGCTGGGGAGTTGGGCAAAGGGGGGTCGCCTCGGGAACGCTGGGATTCTCTGGGTGTTGTTGTTGGCCTGCTTCACCGATGGTGGTCGCACGCCAGCAGACCTATTCAGCGTAGGGAGCCGCGGATGGGCCTGGTCCGTCCGCGCCCTCGGTGTCCTTGTCTATGGCCCTCAGTGGCAGCACCGCACGACAGTGGTTGGCGTGGATCCAAGTTGTCCTCTCCGCGACCTTAACGGCAGTGTCCGTCACCAGGAGGGCGAGGAATGGGCCGAGCCAGCGCTTGGACCGCCAATGCTTTCGTCTCGTTTCCTTCATCAGGACCCAGTCGCCTGCGCAGCCTGTGGCAGGGCGCTCCTGACCTGGGCAGAAATAGAGGACAAAAGTGCATTAATTTCCTTACAATAGGACAGCATGTCGTCATCACACAAAGAGGTGCTTGGCAGATCTCTGTTCGGGGGTCCCGCGCCCAACGTGGGGCTAGCGGCAGAGCTTTGAGTGCCATTCTCTCGCTCGCACGTGCCTCCGGACCAGGGGGATTTTTTTTCTCGGGGCACAATTTTTGTGAGCAGAGCTTTCACCACCGCGTTGCTTGTGGCGTGTATGCCTGCAAATACTTCAGTCCATTTGGACCAGAGATCCGCCAGAACCAGACAGTATTACTTACCTTGGCATGGTGTGAGTTCAACAAAGTCCCTTTGGACATGTTGAAATGGGCGCAAGGGCGGAGGATGAGCAGCCTGTTGGATACTTTTGGGACTTACCTGGGTTGTGCGCGGGGCATATAGCGCATGTTTGGCTGAATCTCTGTGCAAATGCCGTAAACCCCTTTGTATACCAATTTTGTGTGATTAAATCACACATCATCCCTCCTTTTGAGGCATGGTCTCGACCATGTGCTAAAATTGCAAACTGTCTGAAGAAATGCCGTGGTAGGCACGGTTTGCTGTCTGGTCCCAGCCACACACACCATGCCGTCGTTGAGCCCCATTCCCCTCTCACAGCAGCGTCTCTGCTGGAGTAGAAAATATCAACGTCTTGAGTGAGGTAGTGTGTGTGTGTGTGTGTAGAGGTGCGTATGCCGCTGCCTTGTCCGCGCGCCGATTCCCTGCAGAGATGGGATCAGTGGCATTAGTGTGGGCCTGGCATTTGCATACAGCGATCTCTAAGGGCAACATTATAGCTTTCAGCAGACGTTCAACCTGTGTGGAATTAAGAATTGGTTTACCATCAGATTTCATAAAATTGCGGTGTTTCCACAGTGCTTCCCAGTCGTGCACCACAGAGAAACCATAGCGCGTATCACATAATATGTTAACAGTTTTGCCCGCTGCCAGCTCACAAGCCCCGGTGGGCGCGACCAGCTCAGCGGTTTGTGCTGAATGGTAGTGGGGCAAACTACCAGAGTCTATAGTATCAAAATCAGAGCACACAGCATAGCCGACTCGGTTCTTCCCAGTGTTGTCACGTGACGCGGCTCCGTCTGTATATAAAAAATCAAGTCAGGATTAGTCAGAGGCACCTCTTTCAGGTCTGGCCTGGGAGTGCATATCTGTTCTATTGTGGCGATACAGCAGCGTGCCTCCCCTTTGTACCCCAGCCAACGAGCCGCAGAAAGGTGAGAGGCCCTCTGCTCTAACAGGATCAGGGAAACAGCATGGGGCACAAGCAAAGTTAGTTCAGTGTATCCCACAAGGTCACGTGATGCTAGGGCCGCTTTCTCAGCGGCAGCCACAGCCCGCAGGCAGCGAGGCAACCCTGCTGCCACGGGATCGAGTTTTGCTGAGAAGTAAGCAGTGGGTCTCAGTGGCCCTCCGTGAGACTGCAAAAGTACCGACTGTTCCGTTCATCTCCAGTTGCTTTCTCCCGGATCGTCCTCAATTCATATTGTGGGCTTTGGTGCCAAGGTAGAGGCTCATTTCCTCATGATCCATACTACTGTCATCCCTAAAGCAGGGGTAGTTTATCCCTCATCTGAAAAAGAAATATTAGAACACAAAAAAAAACACAAAAAAAATGCCCACTTTCGCTTGTCAATCTTTTTCCAATTGGGCAAAACATAACTGCATTGACAGACGGTGTTTGGCATCAGGGCGGAGGCTGTAGCAAAATACAGACTTAACAAAATGTATGTTTCTAATTTTATACTTCCCTAAATGTGAGTTTACAAACCAAGTTGTCCTTCAACCAACGACAGCTCACTGCGGTTGGACTGTGTCGCTGTCAGGACAAACAGCAGAGGCAGGAACTCCCAATATCTTCAGCGAGGTATTTCATCTCCGAGTACTTTCAGCAGAGTACTTTTCTCAGAGTACTCATCCCAGAGTACTCTCACTTTTACACCTGTTCAATAAAGCTTGTTATCTTTGAATCTCTAGTACTTACACCGTATGCTGTTGACAAAAAATAATTATTCCATGATCACATTAAAACATTACAGACACATTTGTTATTCCATGATTCCGTTCAGCATTCCTCATTTCACACATCACACTCATATCACAGTCATATCACAGTCACATCACAGTCACATCACAGGCCGATTTCCCACGTTAGTATTTTGGTCCAGTTTGTTAAGGTCAGCGTAGTGTACTTTGACATGACACACAAACATATAACATACACAAAACATATAACACACAAACATGTAACACACACAAACACATAGACAACACAGAAGGCCTGTAATTTTAACTTTGTTACATTTTCCATGTCCAATTACAATTGTCTCATGAGTTATTCCTATTGTTGCAACTTCCAGAGCCTGCAGAACATGCAAAGCTTTTTAAGAGATTTTTCCTAAAAAAAAAAAGAAATCCATTTCCAACTTTAGTGTTTACCACGTGGTCTGTATTTCGGGCTTATCACAAATGGTGTCCCCTATATCTCTAATGAGCTCTTGTCACCTAAAAAAAATGTTTATTTTCCTTATTTTTTTTCTTTTTCAATAAAGCCAGGTCGGATTCATTAAAAATGTAAATTAGTCTCAAACTTTAATACTTCACCTTTGTTTCACGATAAAATGTTTTTGTTGCTCATTAAGTAGCACAGATAGTGGTGCCTATCTCAATAAACGTACTCCGTTAGCCTATCTTCCCTACACTGCATGAATTTTCAAACTCCAAGTTATTGTCTGGGAACGACCGGAGAGAGCAGCTTAGGTCGTTCGCGTGGTTGACCTCCAAATTTTGTGCGGGCGTAACTCTATCACTTGTTGTGGCTAATAACTTAGCAATCTCAGGGTTTGGTGTCAATTTCCAGTGGTAGTTAACTTTTGGGACCGGTGCCTCCTTTTATTTATCTATTTTTAATTGAGTCTGCACATAAGGTCTCGGCCTAGTAGATTAGCCGGGCACAATGGGGAATATAGAAAAGAATGTTTAAGCTGGTTGCCCTGAGAATCAAAACACGTTAGCGGTGACGTAAATTGCTCTTCAGTCGTCTCCCCCCCCCCCCGCTGCTAATGAGAATGTGAAACGGCCACTCATTTTAGGGGAGACAGAAAGGCTGTCACTTTTAGCACAGAATTTGTTGCCCCGGAGTCATCCAGAATTTTAACTTGTACACCACAGGTTGTTAGCGTATATTACGGGCATGAATTATCTCTAAAAAGTGCCAATTGCAATTTGTTCTTGTTCAAACTTACATGAGCGGCCGCTTTGGTGACGAATGTGAACCCAGGTTTGGTCAGTCGCTCGTGTTTCCTCCGTGCCCGCCTCTGCCGTCCTCTGGCCCCGTGTTAGCTTGAGCGTTCCTCTGCCTTTAACGCCTCCTCCGGTAACAGTCCTTCGACCCATGTCGAGCACACAGTCTTTCCGCCGGGCTGTGGAAGTTTTTCAAAGTCCGCAGGAGGCCCAGGTAGCCCAAAGCGTTAGCATGTGGTCCATGAGGGTTGGTGAATGACCCAAACGTGCCGGTACTTTTGGCTTCTTCTGTTTGCGGTGCGGGGGCAACTTTCAAGCGGGTTTCCGCGGGTGCGTTTGGTGTTTCACGCTGCCCCCTCCGTGGAGAACAGTCACGGGATTTGGAGCAATTTCTCTCTGTGCTCCAGAGCAGTTGTCGGTGTCTCACATATTTGCTTCCCCCGTTTCTTCTTCTGTGGTTTCCTGAGCGTGTGTCTGTTTCCGCCTCTTCTTCTTCTGCGGTTTGGGCCCACTTCTCGCGGGGTCTCAGCTGGTGCGGGCGCCGCCTGTGGTTGGGGCGTGGGGCTGGTGCTTTGAGGCAGAGGACAGTGCGCGGAGGAAAGGCGCCGACAGACCTGGATAAGGGAGAGGGAAAAGAGACAACAGTAGTCTGCTCATTTTTTAAAAACCCAACGCCTTGTTTGGGTGCACACTTATTGTTAGTAGGGGAAAAAGGGGCGGTAGGGTGGGGGTGTGGGGGATGTGTGTGTGTGTCCGCCTCTGTGTTCTCCGCTTCGGTGAAAGGCGGAGGAGCTATTGTTTTTACATATTTCTTTCTCTAACCTCTTTTGCCGTGATATTCTTAAAACCAAGTATATTTTTTCTTCCCTTCTTCTTCTAAATTCTCACGCAAGATGCGTAATGGCCTGCACCATAGGCAAGCACTCCATAGCTTGCATCTCCTAGATTGATTTTTACCCATTTTCTCGTACGAACAATGGGCCTAACCCGCTTAGTCTCTCCCTGCTCCTACCCACTTTGGGGCGCTCCATTCCCCCCTCGCTGGTTCAACCAGCGAGCGCGCGTTCTTGAAATGGAGCGGTTCTGGCTGAAGACACTTAGAGAAATTTTCAGGGTCGCCTACAGGACGATACTAACGCGCAGCCGCTAGTTTTCAATCTAGAACAAAAAGCCCCCCAAAAAATCCCGCACACAGACTATGCTGTGGCAATGAATGAAATACCCCAAAAATACATAAATAAACAAATCCCCGTGTACACTTAAGTGCTGCCCTGGGCTCGTTACGCAGATGAAAAGACAAGACTCACCAGATTAGGTTCTTTTTGGTCTTGTGTGGCAAAAGGATTCCTTCCGTGCGTGGACGAGCGCGCTCTCCCTTGTCTCCAAAAAGGAACAGAGGCTGGTGATCCAGGTCGGCCAAACAAAGCCGCTCGTCCCGCCGAAAGTATCCCATGCCAAGACATGCCAGCAACGCCAAATTGTTATAGAAATATATACCCCATGAAGGAGGAAACTCAAAGGTCCTTTGTCTGATCAAAAGCGTAAGTTTATTGTTAACGCACAGTGCGGAGAGTCAGCATATGCACACAACGGCAGCATGCTCAGCTCTGGGGGCCAGAGCCCCCAGCTTCCTGTATACAAAACACACACCAAAGATAGTCACGCCCACAACGGAGCGGAGGGGGCCACCGGTGAGGAGGCGCACAGGAAGCGCCGGCGCCATCCCCTGTGGTGGCAGTGGCATGGGGTGTGAACAGACAGACAATGGTGGAAGTGCAGGTCATACAGATGCAAGACGGAAAGACACAGGGGTGTGACAGACAGCAGGGACCTTCACAAAGCTCAGCATGGCGTCAGAAGGTTGTCTGCATTGGTAAAAGGCCTTTGACGTCCGTGTATTTGCTGCGGCTGGTTTTAATGTAATTACTCCAAAAACTGTCACCACATGCCACTCTAAGGGGAATTGACAACTTTGTGAAGCGTCCTCGAGGACAAATGCTGTTGCAATTTAGGGCAACACAACAATACTTGAATTGATTGATTGGTGTCCAAATTCTAGTTCAAAATATATTTTGTTCAGAGGCTAAGTATTGTATAGGATATGAACGATTCTGTATTTCTTATGAATTTTCTCATTTTTCAACTTTTGCTGCTAGGACATCAAATATATCACATTCCACCGTGATATGTTTGTGTTTGTAATACAGTTTATTGTCGCTCAATTAGATTTACATGAATAAAAAGGTCTGTCATCCGGAGTGGTCTGTGATGATGGTTTTCTGACACCTTGTGTATTTTGTTTATAAGACGTGTATCTATCAAATAAGTCCGTTTTGAGCATTTGATTTTATTTGGCTGGATGGACTGACCACGCTTTATGTTGATTATTTGGTCTCCCATGTGCAGGATTCTGTCTCGAGCATTTCACACTCTCCCAGAATTAATTTGCCTGTTTTGATTGTAAACACGGAGAAGAGGCGATAAACACCACAAAACCCTTAAATATGTTTACTATCGTCGGAATCATGGCGGTGCAAGAAATACCCTAAAGCCAGACATGAAAAAGGACATTTTCTCTACAGAAGTGGTGCTTCCGTTGTTTTTCTTTTGTTCTCTAAGGACAACCAAAAACAATAAGTGCAACAAAACTCCATGCATTATCAATTAAGCGCAACGCAGGTATTAATAAGAAAATTGCAGCACAAAAATGCAATCGCTTTAAGCCATTATCTGTTATTCATTAGTATTTCCAAACATAAACAAAATGGCAGAAATAATAATGGAAACAGAAAGTCATTCACAATGACCAATAACTCAAGCAATTGACGAACCTAGCCCTTATACACAGGTCACATTAGGGACAATACTTAGCACAATGACAGCAAAACTTGGTCCGTTTGCATGTGCTACTCTTTCATATACTGTTTTGTCTCACCTTCGAGGATATACATCCGTTCCAGCACCGTACAGCCTCAGTCTGGATCTACAGCCTCAGTCCTTGTTCTTCAGCTGGTCCAGGATCTACAGACTGCCCGTCCATGGCGAGCCAATACCTCTAAATCTGGACCTCCTTGAAGTTTCTTACTTTTTACATGCTTTTTCTGTTGTCGTTTCCTTGCGATGCACAAGTGGTCTTAGGCTAGGGGTCCCTACATTTTAGTAAGAGGGCTCATAATAGTTCACGACTAGTCCAGCGGTCTTGAAATTTGCATCGGGATTCTGAGCCTTTAATATGATCTAAATACAAATCTAAAGTTGGGCTGTTTGACAATATGTTTACCCACCTCACCAGCTCACTTGTCACCATGAAACTCCGGACGTACTGGGCTTTAGAACGAGTTACGAAATGGCTATATAGATAAGCTGAAGTCTGGATGGATGACACAGTGAACTTGTTTTTGTGATCTCAAATACTCTTTGGGTTTAGCAAAGACACAAAGGGCCGCAATTGGCCCTCAGGCTCTGAGTTTAGAAATGCTGGTATAAGGCACCGGGTTGGTTAAGACTGTGCGCTCATTTAAGGAGAATGTAAGCGGAGGCAGAGATGATTGTATTCTCGCGACTCGCATGCATCCCTCTCGCTCCGTGCCCTGCTTCTCTCGTGTATTGAGAGTTTTCTAGTGTATGCCTGTGGAGGGGGTTGTGTGTGTCGAGACGATGTTGTGGTTGTAACATACATTTAATTGATTTCGTATTGAAATTCAAAACTTTAACTATAGGTCCTCTTATAATATGATTTTTGGTTTTCACTGGTGAAACGCACCTGTAGTCCATGTGGTAAAAGCTGACAAAGGCTCCTAAACAATTAGATATCTGTCACAATGAAAGTTGATTTGACTTTCCATTTGTTCCTTGCCTTAAATTACTTGGGTCTGCGCTCATGACAATGCCTGGTTGAATCCCATTTCTTTTTACAGAATATAATTTATGAGCTCCTATCTCGGCTTATAGGCTTTATTTTGAAATTATTCTCAAACTTCATTTTTTGAATGTTTAAAGTCGTATGCAAGCATCCACTCTCGTTCCAGTATCTCTATGACAAAATAAACCCCAATTTTTGCTATAGAACCATTAACAACTTATTGAACAGAAAGTAGAATTTTGAGTTGTTTCTCAAAGTTTGTGAAGTCGTGTATAATAAGTGTTAGATATTAATTCATTTTCACTGAGTGGTATATTCTATGCCAAGTTTTTTTTTTGTTTTATTTTTCATTTAAAAAAAATCAATGAAACTCAGACACTCAGCCCGCACGGTGGCTGAGTGGATGCACTCTCGCCTATCAGCAAGAAGGTCCTGGGTGTCGAATCCCGGCCGGACCAGAGGCCTTTCTGAGTGGAGTTTGCATGTTTCCCCGTGTCTGCGTAGGTTTCCTCGGGGTACTCCGGTTTCCCCTTACCACTAAAAATATGTACAATAGGTCTGGCATGCGCCTCCTGCCGCGGCTGGACCCTGATCCCATCTATGTGTGGAGTGATGAGCCAAGTGCCAAAAAATAACAATGTAAAACCGCTTTGTGACTTGGTCTGTGATAGGCGGTATATAAATAAGCTTATTAATTACTTACTTAATTTAAAGGGGGGAAAAGTCAAGAAAAACTGTAGCAAAAACAGGATATGGCAAGAGAAAATAAGGAAGGGAATAATATAAAGAAGATAAACAAATAAAAAGAACACAAAATAAAAAATGAATAAATAAAATTGGGACTTTGTGTTAATACCATGTTCTCTACAATTCATGAACTGCACACATCCAAATATCCAGAGCCAGGAGCTACACACATCAAACTTATCTCATATAAACATGCAGTGAAGCATGTACAATTGGTTATATGGTATGTTATTTTTTTTGGCGTTATGGAATAAATAAATAAAAAATAAAGAATAAGCGTGCAGTTCATGTTTATGGTCTGCTTATCCATCTCCAAAAAGTCTCTTTAGTGGGTCCAATCTTCAACAAAGGAGGTCTGGTGTTCCGTCAGTACATTATTTTACAGTTATAACAGTATTAACAATTCTGTAAATAATGTTCACTTTTATAATGTCATTTATAACTTGATATACCATCTTTCTTGGACTGTAGAATCTGGAACATAATGCTTGGGTTAAGTGGGTATAATGAGGTTACGAAGGGGGGGGGGGGGCCATTTTCTCAGGTCCCAACTTCAGATTCAGTCCCTGCTCTCTAAATACATTTTTTCACATTCTTTAGGTCCATTATTGTGTGAAATCAAGGAAAGAACAGTTATAACTGAAAATCGGTGCCTGGTTGGCTGCAGCTACATTCTAAAGAAATTCTCTCATTCCGAAGTCGCCGCGAGGTAGTGAGGCGTATTGATTTTGCTTATATTAGTTGGCATTCGGTGTGAAATTCACAGCAAAATAAGGTTCAGACTACAAAAGTTGAGTGGTTTACAAAACCACACAGTGCGCGGTGTGTTGAATTGTTTGTGCGTTAAGCAGGTTTAAACTTTAATACAAGACAGTATATGCTCTGTGTGTTTTATTCAAATCCACTGTTTTTCATAAAGCAATGAATCTCCTACTGACAGGACCTTCAAATGTTCACAACCTAACGTGCTGTTTTAGACATGTTTCAATTCAATTCAAATAACTTTATCTGTGAGACTTAATTACGCACGACAGAGCACCAGTGGGACGATACATTAAAAACACGAAACACTAGATATAAAATACATTAAAAGTTCAGGAAATACAGTATTAAAAATACATAAAACAGATCATAAATTTTATTCAACCAAATAAGACCAGGCTCTCATCAGTTTGAGCATGAATGAAAGAATGTGATATGGTTTGGCCATTTCCTGGTGTTATCACGTTTAGAGATAAAATCTCCAAATGAATAAAGCGCTCCAATGCTTGTATACAGGCGCATAGCTGAAGGCAAGTTAAAGGTTTTGCACATATTCGTTATTTTTCCAAACCATCAAACATGATCAGACATTAGCTTATTTATGAAAGAAAGGTAGAGATATATATTTCATGAGGAAGTGTGGTTTTTTACTTTTGAATTAGTTTTGAGAAGTTTACTCAGCTCCCTCTGGCTCTAATGACCAACATCAAAAAGTCAACTATCAACAAAGTTTATGTCCACACTCCACCATTTCAGGACTTAAAACTCTGTGATCCCGGTCGATTTATATTTGGATGTCATTTGTAAATTCAGATATTAGTCATAAAGACTGACCAATCAAAAACTCCAGCTAGCCATAGCAACAATGTAAGCACCACATCTACTTTGCAGCTGTCTCTGCTAGATTCCTCAGTCGTGACCAGTGGGGGCAGCTCCAAAATGACCTATGAGCATGTGTGCTGAGTGCTTTCAGCTCACTCTTTGCCGATGTGGGTAGAGCCGGTTCACCGAATTTACCCATTGCTTTTGTTTGGCGTCTTCTTTTTCCTTAAAAAACGGCTCGCTTGGGTTAAAAGTCGGCTCTGGCCCAACGCTACATTCAAGTTATGTGTCAATGCTGAGGGGAGAATATTTGTTGAACCAGTCTAGTTTAGCCGATATGGATTTCTAATTGCACCCGTCAAAGGAATGGGGGCTCATGCGGATAATGCATTCGCAATTGCAAAAATTTATCACATTTTCCTGCCCCGCAGCCATTTTTAAACAGTTCCCAAAAGGCAGAGATGACTACGTATGTCAATGTTTATAGTCTATGGTCGTGACATGAGTCTACGTAAATGAGAAATTGGCTCCAGCACTGAAAATTTGACAACAAATTGCTGATACAAATTGCATTCAGCACATTCTATTTTTATAGTTATTATAAATGTGTCTGTGGTGGCTTCCCTGTGACTTTAATCCTAGCCTTGCTTGTGTACAAGTCTCTCCATTCCCTCGCACACTCATTATGAACACTCGACTCTCAGGAGCACAAGATCTGGTTCTGCTGGTAACCAGAGTCAGGACCTAAAGTGTTTCAGGTTATCAGGTTAACTCAAATCTGGAGCAGTCTTCCTGAAATTTGTGAGACACACTTTGTCATTCAAGCCAGGATTAGAAAAAAGTTTCATCTTTCACTCATGTCAATGATTGTGATCATTTATGATTGAATGCCTTGTGTGATGCTTCTAATTCTTGTTTTGTTAATAACTTTGAGTTTCTCTTGATTATGAACGGTGCTAACAGATAACTTGCACTTGTCTTTCCTTACACTGCTTTTTAAGGGCATGTATTTGACTCGTAGATCCAGCCCCTCTAACAGGGCCTTAAAGAAGGATAAGCCGCGCTTTGATGGGGGAAAAGATCGCACCCTTTTATTATGATGTAACACTAGGCTGATGGTTTGAAGTCCTCCCTGTGGGACACTCGGCTTTTATCCTCCACACCACTTTCTTCTTAGTTTGATTTGGGGGATTTTGATGACATAAAACTGAGAGGTCCAAACGTTTACAATGGGGACGATATAAGGCAGAGGGCCATATTTTGTTCTTTATAGTAATATTCATCTGCATAATCTATCTGTTAAGTTTTTCTGGTGAACCAGCATGTGAAAGCAGATCTCATCAGAACTCTGAAGCTCAGCAGGGCTGGTCTGGTTAATAATGTATGGGAGAACCTGGGAAAACCAGGTGCCACAGCTGGGGCGGACTGCGCTGCAAAAAGCTATATATAGGCCGAAGCATTATTATTACATCCATGTCCTAGTATGAAAGCAGTGAGGTGAACTCACAAATTCTTGACAAAAGATTGTGTGAATAGACTTAATAGGGATAGACATCACTTTATTGTGTGTAGCTGGATTTATCTGGGTCGTACGGTTCAATTGTGATCAGAGGAAAAAAAGTCTGAGGTGAGGATTATTAGGATCAATACAGTGAGATGTGTGAGGAGGGTCATATGCAGCTTGATGACATCAAATCTGACGTTTCACGTCTCGTCAGATGGAACTTTGCAAGGGTTTAACATATTCAAAACCAAACA